GCCTGCCCCTGCCACAGCCCCCTCAGGGCTCATCTCAGCCCACACAGAGCATCTATCGGCCCCCTCAGGGCCCCTATCGGCCACCTCAGGGCCCTCCTCAGCCCCTTATGAGCCTTCCGCTCTCCCAGCAAAGGCAAAGAACATCTCGCGGCCCTCCGCCGCCCTACAAAAACAGGCAGACCCTATAGCAGGTGACCTAAGCCTAGTGTCTAACACTATGAGTAAAGTCAATATAGGGGAAATCTCTATCCTTGCGCGTAAACTGCGCGCTGCTCAGTCCCCTCAGGACCGTCTCCTTGCTCTTGCTGAGCACATCGATCTACTAAGGTCGTTGTAAAAACACTATACCGGAGCCCTCTGCTCCCGCAATTTCGCACGGTCGTATCAAACCAAAGGGTTTGTCGCTTGTTTTGTTCAATATCCGCGGTTTGCGAAATAACCTCCCAGAACTTAGGCCCTTTCTTCGAGATCGCGAAGTCAACCTCCTCCTTCTTCAGGAGACCCACCTCAGCTCTAAGGTCTCTAAAGGCCTCTTTATCAAAAGTTATTCACTTCTTCGTAATGACAGACCCGACCGCAAAGGCGGCGGTACTGACATTTACTACAAAAAGTCCCTTCATTGCTCCGTCATCCCCACTCCGACGCTTACCAGTATGGAAGCCACTATTACTAGATTAGCCATGACTGGACACCAGTCTATCATTATAGCCTCTTGCTATATCCCTGGCGGAACCCTCCCCGTTAAGAGTGATTTCGAAGCCTGAGATTTTAACTCCAAGCATACTGAATGGACCTGCGGCACTACTACTAATAGTGGCAAGGCGCTGCTCAATATCACTCAGTCTCTCGACCTGTCTACAGCCCCCTCGCTGTCACCCACTATCATGACAACGTTAACTACGCTCCTGACGTGCTAGACTTTACTCTAGTTAAAGGAGTCTCCCTTAACCTTAGAGCAATCGAGTCTCTCGATGATCTAGGATCCGACCACCGTCCTGTATCCCTCCTTCTTGGCCATCAGCCACCTCCGACTCCCACTTCCAAAACCAAAAACCAAAGCCTCGGCTATGGACTCTCCGGACCCTCCCATAACCCTTTCTTCCGACGTCCTCGACAGTACGGGGAAAATAGACACCGCTGTCGAAAATCTCACCTCTCTTATAACATCCCCTCTTAAAGAGAACGAAAAGGTTGTCCCGGTTGCTAAAACTAGTCTTCCCCTAGATATTAGCAACCTTCTCAAAGCCAAAAAAGCTGCCCTGCGTAGAGCCGCACGCTATCCCAATCCCGAGTATAGACTCACGGCCCACCGCCTTCAACGCAAACTCCGTTACCGCCTCAAAGATTTCAGAGACCTCGAAAGGGGCAATCTCATGGAGAAAATCTCCCCCACTCACACGGTATAGAGGAGGCTGATAGACGCGGGGCATCTCTGGAGAAAATCTCCCCCACTCACACAGCGTACTACCAGATGGCGAGAGCCCTCCGGATAGACGCTATCACGCATACTCCCCCTCTGTCTCGTCCCGACGGCTCTATTGCCTTCGAGGACGAAGAAAAGGCTGAGTGCTTCGTCGACAGCGTCGCCGCTCAATGCTCTCCCAGCTCACAACCCACTGACCCCCTACATGCCCTATATCAAACTAGTGGAGAACGAGGTCCGCCGCCGGAACTCGTCCTCCACCGCCTCTGACCCTATCACTGTGTCTAAAGATGAGATTTCATCTACTATCAAAGGACTTAAGCCCAAAAAAGCACCGGGCGCGGATGGCATCTCCAACCAAGCCCTTAAACACTTTCCGGAGCAGGTGATCGCCTTATTGGCCATAATCTTCAACGCCTGCTTCGAATTCAGCTACTTTCCCACCTCTTGGAAAGAGGCAACTGTCATTGGAATTCCCAAGCCAGGCAAACCTCACCACCTCCCCTCCAATCACCGTCCCATCAGCCTCCTCAAGGCCATGGGCAAACTTTTCGAACGAGTTATTCTCGTGCGCATGAGGCGCCACTTGTTTCCCACAGACGGCGACCCTCTTGTCATCCCTCAACAATTCGGGTTTCGAGCCAAACACTCCTGCCCCCCAGCAAGTTCACCGCATAGTGGAATATATCTTCAGTGGTTTTTATCCTCGTCGTCAAAAGATCATCGCGGTCTTTTTCGACATTGTCAAGGCATTCGACAGAGTCTGGCATGAGGGCCTTATCTACAAATTGTACGACTTAGGCCTCCCTGACCGTCTCGTCTGCCTTGTAGCTTCAATTTTGAAGGACGTTTTAGACACGAAGGCACGCTATCCTCCACTCGTCAAATCAAAGCAGGTGTCCCTCAATGCTCTGTGCTTGCTCCCCTCCTATATATACTATTCACCAACGACATCCCTATCCCATCGAATGGTGTTAAACTAGCCCTCTTCACAGATGACACAGCCCTTTACTCTAAAGGCAACTCACTGCCACAGATTCGGAACAAGATCCAAAAGTCAGTTAAAGATTTAGGAGCTTGGTTCCAAAAATGGCGTATCGACGTAAACCCGGAGAAGAGCTCCGCCGTTTGCTTCGAATATAAACGACGCCGTCTCACTGCCACTCCGCCAATCAGGATGTTAGGAACCCCTGTCCCATGGCAAACAAAAGCCAAATATTTAAGCGTCACCCTTGATGCAAGGCTCACTTTCGAGCCCCATATCAAGAAGGTAACTCGCACCGCGCGATTTTACATGGGTAGGCTCAACAGCATGTTGGGCAGACACAGTAAAATGTCCCTCCGCTACAAGCGAACGCTATATAAGGTCTGTATACAACCTGTTATGACCTACGCGGCCCCCATTTTCGCACATGCTAAACCCAAATTTATAAATGAACTTCAAATAGTTCAAAATCTATTCTGTCCTAGGGCCACTAACTTGCCCTATTATGTCCGTAATGGCGACCTACACCGAGATTTAGAGCTCGAAACAATCCAGCAGTACCTTAAATCACTCTCTGAGAGATTTTTCAAAGCCTCAGAGTCCCACCCAAATCATCTCATTCGTGAGACAGCTGTGTATGCAGCCCCTCTCCACACTCGTTATAGTGTGCGCAGACCGAGAAACTCTCTCTCGGACCCCCCCCCCCCGCAAACAAGCTTTTGGCTGACCTGAACTGCCTCCTGGCGGCTCAGGCCGAGCCTACTTAACACATCCCTTAATCTGCCTTAGTTAGGCACACTTCTAAGCGGATTTTCGCCGCTTGCGCCCTCCTTTCTGCCAAGGAGGGTCGCGTCCGTATACGGCTTAGGGATCTCTCGTCAGATCAGTAAGCCAATCCATAAAGGTGGGGTTTAGTGGGTAAAAGTCTCCACATAACCACGCAGCCGGCTGCGTGGTACATTATGAGCATTCCCCACCTCCCTCCCCCGCTTTCCGGAGGGTTGCCCATATTTGCTTCGGGCGCAAAAAAAAGAGGCGTTTTTAAATCGGTTAGTTCAGTGGACCGTGTAACAAGTGCATAAAAACAAGTAATGCTATTAATTTTTACATTTAAAATTATTTATATTTTGTTTTTTCAAGTGTAGTGCTGTGCTATAATATTTTGTTTACTACTTTTTTCTAAAAAATAAAGTGCTGAATACCTGCTGACTGCAATTTCAACGGTTTGATTTTTTATAAAATGGTAAGTGTTCCCTAATTTACTTTATACTTCAACATTAACCCTTTTTTTTAATTATATGCGAGCAGCTATGCAGGTCTAGGTAAAGAGACCAGTATCACTGCGACATAGAAGATCTATTGTGATCGCTGCTATGGCTACAGTTCACGGCTAAGCCCTGTGTCTTCAATGAATTGAAGGAGTTGCTTAGCTGTGAGCAAATTCACTTCTGGGCGGAGTAGATAGTGTCCCAGACGAGTGTTACGTTTGCGCATTAAGGGTCCGCAATCAGTTAGGATGTGTAGAGGCGTTTCTTCCGTTATGGAACAGAACCGACACATCCTTGAGTTGCTTAGTCCCAGGATGGAAATGTGCTTTTTAAGACAACAGTGTCCAGTTAAGGCTCTTGCCAGAATGCGCAATTTATTTTTTCTTAATCCCAGGGTTCTGAAGCGAATTTACGATCAAAAGCCCGTATTAAGGTTTTAGAATGTTTTAAAGCCTGGTGTTTGAGTCGAGCGTGGATGCAATCTGTAGGAGAGCAAGCTCAGACGTGCATTAAGAGCCGCTCCAGGCGATGATCGCATAGCTCCAGTTGCCATTAAGCAGGCAGTCCTTTGTAGACTATTTAGTCTGTCCGCAGTCGTCTTTTGGTTGACCTTGTGCCCCGGACAATAGAGGCGTAGGTGAGAATCGGCCTCACTATGCTGCTGTACAGCCATAGGACCATACTGGGACGCAAGCCCCAGTTGTTCCCGACCAAACGACTGCACGTACCTAAAGCAATTTTTGCTTTATGGCATACGTTGCTAAGGTGAGAGTTCCACGTTAGTTTTTGGTCGATTGGTACGCCCAAACATTAACCCTTTATAGGAATCCTATCTGTTTCCTGTTTTTATCTGATAACTTCAATAGATAATATAGGAAAAAATCTACAACTTCTGCATAAAACATTTTTTTTTTTCTATCTGTCATAATAAAGGCTCTAAGCACGTAAATATACTGTGTCAAAGACCCTGTACGAGTTTAAAAAAGTAATTGGTTTTTTATCCATAACTCGCTTAATTTTTATGCTATCGATCTTTTTAAAAATCCATTTCGTAGCTTTTTCAAGGGCTATAAGATCAAATTAGTTTAATACTTTTTCTGCCTTTATTTTTGAAAGGGTTTAAGTTGAAAGGGCTCGAAAAAATTGCTTTTGACATAAATATGCAATATGCAAACTTGGTGCGTATTATTGTGATTACTTTAGAAGTCAATTCCTTATTCCCATAAGTACTAATTATTTATTTGTTTTTTCAGGATAAAGGAAAGAGACCTTCAGGTGCGAAGTTTCGCGAGAAAAGGAAACTGAGACTACAAGAAAGAAAAAAATGGCTGGATCTTTAAAGCACTTCTTGCAAAACAATGAAAATTCTACCGAGACTATCGATGCGACCGAATCTCAAGATTCCGTAATATCAGTAACCGTGAGTGGACCATCTGAAATTTCAACAGAGGCGACTACGGTAACATCAGGTCCTGCAACAAGTGGCGGCGGTTGTAGCAGCAAAACAGCTTCTACTGATGCAGAGCCCGATGAAGCGATGACACCATCCTCGTCTACAGCACTTGAACAATCCGCTTCAGGTAATTCAGCTTGTGTAAGAAGTTCGGTAATGTCAGCTTCCGAAATACCTGTTGCAAGTGACACTTTCGATGAAGGTTTTAATAAGGCTAGCGTCTATATAATTCCATCCGACCGCGGTTTGTGGCCCGAAATAATCACCATTGAGATAGCTAGAATATTGGTTAAACGTGGTCCGCCCTTGATAGACATCAGTTTTAGCTTCCCTAGTAATAAAGATAAGAGAAAGTTTTCGTGCAAATACTTTGTAAGAAGTCTAGCAAATGGAGAAAAAGTCGAAAGGACTTGGCTTATTTACTTTATTTCTAAATATACTGCATTTTGTTTTTGTTGTAAGTTGTTTTGTAAAACTCCTAACACTTTTTGTGATACAAATGGAGTATCTGATTGGCAACACTTGTCTGCTAATAAAGAGACACGAAACGTCAATTTTACACAATAGTTATATGAACACTTGGGTAAATTTAAAAAACAAAATGTTGGAGACACATCTACGACTGTTAATGCTCATCACCTGCGGATTTTAGAAATGGAAAAAAATATTGGCGTGATGTGTTGGAAAGAATAATTGCGATTGTTAAGTATTTATCTACACAATGCTTGGCATTTCAAGGTTCTTCGAAATTACTTTTCGAACATGATAATGGAAAATTTCTAAAAGCTGTTGAGATGATTACCTCTTTTGATTCAGTGATGAGACAGCACGTTAGCCGAGTGTGTAACTCCCAAATAAAATGTGTTAAAATAACTCATTATTTAGGCGTGCAAATAAAGAATGAAATAATTGAATTATTGTCGTCTAAAGTAAGAAATAATATTTTAGAAATGGTTCGCAGTTCAAGATATTTTTCAATAATATTAGATTGTACACCATACACTAGTCATACTGGGCAAATTAGTCTTGTTCTGAAGTATGTTGTCCTTAACACAACTTCAAAAAAGGTTGAAGTTAAGGAAAGTTCTATTGCGTTTAATCCAATACTGGACTATACAGGGAAAGGGATATATACATTTGTGACAGAAATTTTGAAAAAATGAAATTTAGATATAAAAAATATTAGGGAACAAAGTTTTGATAATGGGGCAAACATGAAGGGACAGCATGTTGGGCTTCAAAAACGCATTCTTGACACGAATCCGAGAGCCCTTTTTGTACCTTGTGCGGCTCATACTTTCACAAATGACGCTTCTAAAGTGTCAGATGCTACAATAAACTTTTTAACCTTGTGCAAGAGTTATATAATTTTTTTCGTCATCCACAAAAAGGTGGGATATTCTGAGAAAAAAGGTCCCTGGGTTAAGTTTAACGCCTCTAAGGGAGACAAGATGGTCCAGCAGAATTGATTCAATAAAGCCCCTTAAACTTTATTTAATTAAGGTTTGCGAAACTCTTCTAGAAGTAGCTGAAGATAATTCCTTTCACATTGATGCAAGACATAAAGCGAGTTCCATGTTAACGTCTGTACAAAAATTTAAATTTATTTGTGGAATTATTATTTGGCATGACATTTTATTGCACATAAATATTGCCAGCAAACAAATGCAAAGTGCTACAATTGATATTAAAGTATTCCAAACCTACCTAAAATTTAGTTGATCACTTCTAGCAATATAGATCTGACCAATCGTTTGAAGAAATTATTGTACAAGCGAAAGAAGTAGCACTCTCTCTCGAAATTGAGGAAGACTTTCCACCGTTACCAACGGTCAGGAGGAAATTTAAACCAAAACTGTTTTACTATGATATGAACACCGAGATGAGACCCCTCATGATCCAAAAACTGTCTTTAAAATTAGTTTTTTTCTTAAAAATTATAGATCAAACATTAAACTCTCTAAAAAACCGATTTGACTTATTAAATGAGTATGATAATATTTTCGGATTTTTAGCGACATATTAAAATAAAGTGACAGCGATATTTTAAAACATTGTTATGTTCTTGAAGAACGACTGACAGATCAGTATAATAAGGATATAGACTCCAATGATTTGTTTAATGAAATTAAAGCGTTAAAGTTGTTTTCATTACCTGATGAAACTGACCCTTTAATTATTTTACAATATATATTTGAAAACAATTTAATCTCCACCTTTCAAAACGTAAGCATTTCACTAAGAATTCTTCTGACATTATCTATGTCTGTAGCTTCTGGCGAGCGATCTTTTTCAAATTTAAAAATCGTTAAAAATTATTAAATTATTGTCTGGGCTAGCGATATTAGCAATTGAACAAGAAATTTTTGATGGTATAAATTTTAGCGATGTAATTAATGAATTTGCAGTCTCGGAAAGCAGCAAAGTCTCGGAAAATATCGCTGCTACAATAGCTATTTTGTATTTTTCTATTGTACCTAGCTATCATTTTTGATTTTAAGAAGTTCCCTGGGTATTTTTATCAGAAGTATCCGCATAGCATATTGCATATTTTTTAAATATCTAAGTATTAGTAGAAAGTAGTACTTATGTATATGTAAACATTAGGCAATATTTCTGTTATTTGTTCCTGAAAAAGATGCGATTTTTAGTTTTGGGTTATTTTCTAGTATTTATAAACAACGTGTACCCCATTAGTTAAGTAAATGCTTTAAAATGTGAACAATAATTTATTTTGTTATGATTTTATTGTTTGTTTCATTTTGATATTTTAGTCTACAAATAAATATGACTTCTAAAGTTCAGTTGTTTTTTTGCTTTATTTCAAGCACCTACCTACCTACCTTCAAAAAAAACATGATCAAAAATGCCTTAAGGGGTGCCACAATCCTTTTTGCACACAGGTGCCAGTAGTCCTTATGGGGGTTACCCTGTTAGTAGTAGCCTGGAGCAAGAAACAATACCCAGACTGCGTGATAAAATCCGTTACGAGAATATCTCAGTAGAACCAATGTAACCGACATGGGCTAACAGAACAGCAAACTGAAGTGGCCATTCACGAGCACTTAGTTATTCACATAATTAAACGAATAAATGTTCTCATTTGGCAGCTTTATTAGATACCAGTAAATACCTATGTTTATCAGATAACTTGTCCAGTTATAACGAATTTAGAATTGTTTGGTTAGTAAATTTGTAAGGGCTTAAATTGATAAAACGCATGTATTTCTTATAAATATTATAATATTTATATAATTTCATATAGTAACAACATCTTGCTTTGTCCATCCTTCTGCCAAATGTTCCCGTACAGCTTGATCTAGAATCACCTGAAAATAAAATTTGGTTTATTTACATATTGCCTACAGCGACATCTAGGTTGAAAACGGTGAATTGCGGTAATAATAATACGTAGTAGTCAGTCGTCAAGTAGTATTTGCAAGAGGACGTAGCATTTGAAATAGGTCTGGAAATATCACGATGTTACGTCAAAGAAAAGAAACGTTGGTTATACGCATGAAGGTTAGAGAACAGGAGAACGATCACCGTAGAAAATAGTATCCCAGAAATATGGACAACATAAGTGAGGTGCTGCGATCGCTCGAGGTTCGGTCAATAAAAGTCATTTTGAGTTTATTTTTCCGATCAGATGCTAAACCACTTGCACATCCACGCACAATAACATATTTCTCCATTTTTTAATGTTTCTTTTTGTCAAAAATTACAAAATTAGGGAGCATGAAAATTTTCTCATTCAAAATGAAATGAAAATTTGTACAATATTCAACTAACTTCACTTGCTTGTACTCATAAACAGCTAACTTCGCAGTCAATACTCACCGACGTCAGCGCCACTATAAATTCTACAATTTTCAAGGACAGGCGGGCTATGCTTTAGTACGTAGTGATCGTTCTCCTGCTCTCTAACCTTCATGGTTATAGGCGTGCTGTAAGTACATAATACATTATACTCTTATTCTGGTCAGCATATTCGATTTGGCATTACCCTTCTTAATATTTTTTTGAACTAAGGGTTACGAACGAGCACACAGTACACCTAAGTGAATGTAAGAACAAAATCAATAAGCAAATTCTATACAGTACAGGTAATATATATTTGACTCCCGACCGTCACAACTGCCTGGTCTTACACTCACCAGATGTAGCTAGTCGACACTGAGGTGAAGTTTTTGTTACACAATTTCATTTAACCGCACCCATCCACAGCACTTTAAACCATTAAAACTTATATTTAGAGACTACTTTTCTATGAAGAAGTTTGGTATTATAAAATCTATACAAAATTTTCTATTTTGTGGTCTAAATAAAAGTCAGGTTTTATTTCATTACAAAAAGATTTTATTGTATTTTAATAACAAAAAAACATACCAAGCGAATGTCGGCAGCGTGAAAATCACATATATTTCAATATATAATTACTCGAAATTATTTACATAAAAAAATAAATTATATTCACACAAAAATTTTCATTACAATTTTATAATAAAACACTATACTAAAACACTAATAAATCACTAGAAAAATCAAAAAATCAACACAATAACATTCACGCGAAAATGACGTATGAAATAAACGTAGATTATAAATAAATATCCATAGGATAACAGTTTTTTATTGCATTGGAGGATAGAGTATTTCATATTGATTATATAATGCCAAACTTCTTCATAGAAAAGTAATCTCTATATATAAGTTTTATGGGTTAAAGTGCCTCAAGTAGGTGCGACCTCATGAGACCGCTAGGGATTTGACGGAATATGGCCGCGGTCTCATGAGGCCGCTAGGGTTGACAGGTCAGTTCTAAATAAAAGTTTATCAGTTACTAGAGTATTATATTTTAGATTTCTTGTATCTATTTTAACTCTTTTTTAATGTTTTGCTTTTATGAATATGTGTGGTTCGGTTTATTTATTTTTAATTAAATTAATATAGAATATAGATAATAGTACAGAAAGAAACCTTTTCATTTTCCGAACAAATTAACTTGCCCGCTATGAAAGCTGTCTAATAAAACACCACATTTTTAAGTGGCAGAAAAAAATCGTGCATCGTGTATGACGCAATATCGACATCGTAAGATTCTGACACATGATTTTCATCTCAATTAATAATAATAATAATAAAACATTTATTCATTACCACCAATAAAATTACAGTAAGCAGTACACACAGAAATAACCATAATTACATAGAGTAGTAATGAATAGGCTCTAGCTCAGGATAAATGTTGCAGTTGCCCACAACGCTGTTATTCTGCCAGCGCCCAACAAATTTAGAGTACAATACGCGCGCATCCCTGCTTATATTACATTTAATCACAACTGTTCACATTAGAGTACATCTCGCGGTTTCCCAAGTATTAGCGAGTATTAGCCAGTTCCAATTAGTAATTAAGAAATATTGTTTAATTATTATAATTTTTTCCATAAAATTTATATTTTTAATAATTATTAATAAAGGCGTAGGGAAGTGACGACCCCATCGCCCGCTGACGTAACGGTTATGTGACAAAACCGCTACGTCAGCGCAGTCAGTCAGCACCTTGC